GGGATCTAGAAGACGAGGACGGGACTCTGGGGTCGCTGCTACTGAAAACTGGGGGAGTATCTGATTCTCTATCAACCTCAGGATGGTGCATATGTCTGGCACTGGACACAAACCCAGTGAGAACATGGATCAGACACTGGTGGTCAATCCAGCAATCCCGACTCCAATGAGCAATTACAAGTGTATGCACATGTCACCGGTGTCGGTGCCTGGCACTGCTCAGAATGTGCACAGACGGATCCGAACGGCGAAAGATGCTCAGGGCATGAGGGTGGTCTTTCTTGTGACACGTTCCCAGTTGTTGCGCGCGGTTTTCTGAAACACTGGTGTCCTCACCGTGCCATCATGCGCGGCATAGACTTAGAGCAACCTCTGCCTATCAAGACAGGCTGCAGCCTGATAGGCATTTCCATCATCCAAAATGATGGCAGTCTCCTAAGATTTGCGATATTACGCTGTTGTGCAAGCTATGACAGCTATCTTCGTCCGGTCCCTGGCAACGGAAGCATGACTAAGCAAGACAGGTTGGACAGCTTTCAGCCATGGTGCAAGGAAGGGGCCTCTCAGCTCACACTTCTCGGCTCAGCATGCCCCACTAATAAAGATGGTCAGCCCGCTCACTCTGCATGCACGATTCCAATCACTGGCGCTTCTTCAACTGCGCATTCATTCGCACAGGCTCACAGGGCAGCGGCTAGGACAAAAATCGCACCTGCGAAACACCTGAAGTTCGTCAGGTCCCAATTCTCTTGCTTTCCCCAACAGAATCCAACATGGTGCACTGGGAAGCCCTTTGAGTACCGCAGGGCCCTGCGGAACTCGAAGCAAAGGACACGAATGACGGTGGGTTCCTCATGCGTCGAAGAGGGCCTAGGTTTGGTGTGCTTGCGTTTGCATGTTCACAGCAGGCATACATTGAACATGACTAAGAAGGACACTTTGCTTCGCTGAACGACACGGTCATGCCATGCCAATCAATGCAAACGACAATGGTCGCAAAACATCGGATTGCCTTGGCTGCAGCTGCAGCGACGTCTGGCTCCTCGTCGCTGAACAGAGCATTGCAGCAGGTGATGAGACACCTCAGACGAGTTTTCGGCACTGAGTCAGACGTTGCGTGAGTCTCGCCTTTTGCCTGGCGCGGCTCATGCACTTCGATGCAAGATGATACATGCTGCCCTGCCGTTGGGAAAACCCCTGCTCAGGAAACTGACATGTCTCAGCATGGCACATACCCAGCAAGACCACCAGAACAAGAAAGGAGAACGCCGCCCCGGCCACCATTAGTGCCTGCAGATTCCAGGCTCCGGGCAAAGGTGGGGAACATCTCTTGTGGACGAAGAAACCCAAGCAGTTATAGGGGACTACTTCAAGACTCGATGGTAATGGAGCCTCCATCCAGCCTTTGCTGGCGTGTGCGCCCATACGCACTACGAAGCGGCCAGCCTGCCCGGCAAGAAGAACATGCGAGGGTAAGTATGTAGAGAGAGAGAGAGAGAGAGAGAGAGAGCGTGACGACTAGAGGGGAGGGATGTAGCTGTGTGCTCTTTGATCTCCAAGCGGGTAAGCTTAGGCCGATGTGGGCTTGGCCCTCAAAACCTCCTTCTGCCAAAAACTTCTGTTGATGAGCATTCAGGGTCTGAACAGGCTGTCAGGGCGAGGAATTCTGCACACAAGCGGCCTCCCTTTTCCAGAACAAGATCTTTCCCAAGATGGTGCGGCCCTGCACGCAGCCACGTAGCGGGGATTAGCATGGCTTCCAAGCATGGAGATTGCCAACACGCGCGCAAGTTTTCTGGACGAGGCGCTGCTCTTGCTGTCGGTAGGTCTCTCTTGCAGTGGAGGGGCCACTTCAGGTGACATCTAGCCCGGAAGCACAGGTTGCGCTATTGGTTGGATTCGAGTAGATAACGGATGTTCGACCGGGGCCATCACAGACCCCTCCTTTGCACGTTTGTCATCTGTCGAAGGGGAGCTCGCTTTCACTTACCCTGCTTGAGTAACTTTCGGTCATGGGCTGCTTGTCGGCGTTTCAAAATCTGCACATGTGGAGTGGAGACGACCCTCTCAGCTAAACGGCGAAATGGCACCTAAGGAACTCCCAAGCAAAGACTGTGATCTGCAGCCGGTATGGAGCCTCGCAGTCTGCAACATGGAGGAAGTAACATCGAAGTGACACCGTCGCGCTTCTCATATCTGGGGATCTCTCGCCAAAAGACTTGCCAACCGAATCTGTCTTTGACAGCAGTAGACCACCGGGACCCCAGGAGACCACCCAGAGGCTCTGGAGTAGCAGGAGCCCAATGCCAGAAAGTACTGCAGAGAGGGCAACCGGGAAACCCTGTTGGCTTGGCCCCCAAGTTCCTGTCGCATATTAAATAACACATTACAGATGCTTGCGCGATTCCTGTTTTCGTTCGTCTGCAAACACGTTTCGAAACATTGTCTTTGTTTGAGATTGTTTGAGACACGCGTCTGGTTGTAAACCAGGGGGTTGTTCGCAGAACAACAGGTTAAGTAGTTCATAAGATATATACAGTGTCAAAAACCAACCCCGGTTGAGTATCGTTTGAAGTTGATGTTTATCTCAGTAAGTAGGAGATCACGGTACGTACGAAACATGCAAATAATCTCCACCAATTAAAGGGCTGAGACAAGCATTAAACAACTTCAAGATAAGCTACTTGGGTAATTTTAAACCTTCGTGAATTAGTCTTGAACATGACTTAGACATCGAACTAGCTGTTGCAGACACCTTGTTTGACTTTCACTGAATAGTCTCTTACCGTCGGCGCAATATCAGTTCCTTACGGCTGGTAGGGTTGATCTCGTTATGGAGTTTCAACTAGATGCGCATTGAACATTGGTTGCCTGAACATTTACCCGTGGTGAATACTATTGAAAACATGGCAATACCTTCCAGCTATAAGCCTGTGACAGAAGGTTGTTTGCTAATTGTACCGAAGAACACAATTCAACGACGAGCAGAACCCAAATACAAAATTGAGGTCATATGTGTTGACATGGTACACACAACGCGCAGTCATGTGACAATGGTTCGATGTTAAGCAAGAGTTCGAGATCAAGCAGATATTTAAAAAGGGTTTAGTTGCCTTGTACTGTATAACACAGACATCGTACCTAAATACAATGTAAGCATTAAGTGCTAAGCAAACATTCACTCCGTATTCGGTTTGAACTAACTACTTACATAACTCTAAACTACACGAGCACTGCTTAGATACAAAGCGAGTATGCAGCAGACATCAATTGGCAGCAATCACTTGTCGTTGAGAAATTAGGAAGGAGAGATTACATTTGTGTATGCGACACCTATATGGGGTGACAATATTGCTTGCTGTTGCTTTGCATTTTCTCACAACGTGCTGCATTGACGGTCTTGCCTTTCCATCAGGCGTATTGCTGTTCGACATGACACTGCACCTCATGTCATGTCGTAGTTGTAAGGTTCAGGACCAAACCCAAATGCTTCCCAGCTTGTACTGGCCATTCATAGACAACATGTTCTGGCGGGATTCAGGACCACGGCCAAAATGCTTCCCACATGTACTGAAGTGGGGTTCAGACACACACAGCCAAAATGCTTCCCCTCATGCATGACGTAGCCGCCGGGATCGCACGGACAACGTGGATTCCACTTGCACTCGGGCACGCCTCGTGTGAACGCTGACCAATTCATTCTCTTTACTTCCAAACGCAAGAACCCCATAGTGTGTACCGCACTGACTGCCAGTTGCCTTCTAGACTCTAGACACTGCAGTGTGCGTAATGCCCGGTTAAGCGGCCATCCTTGATCATCTGGCCTGGGTACGGAAGGGTCGGCGAGCTCGCCCGATCGGGTCGGGCGTCAAGACTGGAGAGATTCTCTGCGCGATTTCCATCCGAAATCTGTACAGCTATAGGCCGTAGACTCTCCAAGCGAAAGGGCAGACAGCCGCCATTCGGGGGTGCCTGCCCTTCGAAGTCTACCGAGGGTACCCGGCGAGCAAGGTGAGCTCAGGCACGTGGGAAGTCTCTGCAACGGCACAAACTCAGCTGGGTAACCTCTCTCTCTCTCTCGAGTCCCACATTGGGGGAGCTCGGCAGTCGAAAAATCTTGCATCCAAACCTGGTGTTTCACAGCCATCACGTTCTCTGGAACGGGGATGATGCTGCGCTTCAAACTATCGCCGGTTTGTCGTGGAAGAGCTTCCCCCGAAAGCCTGAATTTATTCCCGTTACTCACGTCGCAGTTGATGGGATAGGGATAAAGCAGCAGGCAGGTAGATCCCAGGCAGAAGAAATCGCCCTCTGGTTCCGTTTGCGGCAGGCAGCTTTCCAAACATCACCTGTGCGATGGAACAACGAGGCAGCCCGAACAAGAAACTACACAGCTGCTGGGCTGAAATCATGCTTTCGATTCAAGCTCGCTGGTGCTTTCGGGGATTTGGAGTTCCGGACGACCGGTAGGTCTGTCAGTACTGGCACCATGTACAACAGGACACACTAGCCAATGTCCGACATCTATCTTTGTTTTGCGCAGTCACACGAATCACCCAACGAGCTTGGGAAAATCCTGCACAGAACAGCAGACCTGGCTTCGGCGCTTTCTGGCAGAAAGGACGGCTAGGCTAAAGCAGCTAAAAAGCCCATCGTTTCACCCTTCCTTCCGATGTCATTGGCCTGAGATAAAGGCCCCGGCCGAATGGCATTGCCTCCGAATTGCATGCAGCTCCTACGTGTCGGTAAGTCACAAAGTTGTGAAGGTGTCCCCTTGCAGCGGGCACGTGCAGATGACTCAGAAGTGTTGAGCGAAAACATGAAGGGACAGGAAATTGAAAGCGTGTCGACGCCAGATCATCTAGCCAGGCTGGAGACCTCGCGGCGGTCAATGGCTTGGCTTGTTGAGTCCTCTCCTGCCTGATGCCTCCCTGATGGCCCCAGCCTCTACCCCTCAGTCGTCGAATAAGCTCACCGAGCGAACAGATCGTGCCTTCGACTTAAATGCTGGCATTGTTGGTGCCCTCGTTCGCACAGAGTGCGAGCGCCTCCGCACACGAATCTGTCAGACAGTGGATGCTTTGCGAGTCCAGGCTTCACTGCAGAAGGGTTTATATTTCGAGGGCTCTTGTCACAGGCAGGAACGCCCAAAAGCTTAAGGCATTCCTCGCTGGCGGTGAGCGTCTTCAACGATGCCGTGGTATTTGCACGCCTGGGCGAAAACCGTTACTGCAGTATGGTCACAGCAGAAGCATGCAGCGAGGCTGCCTCTGCACAGGAACCTTGCTGCAACCCAGTCACGTTAGATCTGTGTTCCACAGCATCTCCTTCAATCGACACAAGAGTCAGTAGTGCTGTTCGTGGTGCTGCATCATGTCCCAATGCAAAATTGAGAGCATGGCAGGCTAGTACACAGCCAGCAAGACAAGACGGAGGACTTGCTCGCCGACTCTAGCCGACTAGTGTTCCTCATGGGCTCCTGTCAGCAGATTAGCCTTTTTGCAGAAGCCAGGTCTGCTGTCGGACTTGCATTGTACAGGTGATACGGTGATACACGATAAAGGCTGATACTCGAACGACGTGGTTCACGGATGTTGCAGAAGCTCGAAAGCAGCTTCAGCTGAACGACAAGCCATTCCATGCATGGGCTCTGCGAACCTGTATCTCTCTGGTATATCAAACCAACATTTGACCAAACCCTACAAAGGCCCAACATCACCGCAACCTCCCAGTAGACTACGTAGTCTTCGCGATATCTTTACGGCTCCAAAATCGTAAAGGATCGCAACTGCAGAGACTCCTTGAATTCCTGGAGATCTATCTGCTTGTCACCGTTCTGGTCCATGTCCTTTCATGGGTCGAGAAGTCGAGAAGTATCAGGCTCGCGGAGGGGATGCTGGAGATTGGGGATAAGGTCTCCTCCAGTATCTGCTGCAGCTCCTCAATGGGAATGTGGCCCAGCCTGTGGGATGCTTTTTCCACGGATCGGAAAGTGGTGTTGTAACCGTAACCATCCTCGAAGCTATCCTGTATGCCAGAATTGAATCACGATCACACACAAATCTATGTGCAGGTGGGACATTCTGCTTCTGCATACAGTTAACATGTTGAAGTCTTCAATTCTTGATACGAAGGATGGGAGCTGCTGATGAAGACTCCACTGTCGGCAGCAACATGCAGACCACTTCAAGCGGGCAGCTGAATGTGCTGAAAACACTGAACACATCGCCCACCTGCAAGCTTTTTGGCTGGGCCCGGTGCATGCGGCCAGAAGAGAGTTCATCTAAGTCAATGGAACCGTCCTTGGACAAGGTCGGTCCAATGCGACTCCGCGACGATGTACAAGCCCTTACAAGCCTTGTTTGATGTTGCCGAATTCTGCTGCCGTGCAGCTTGTGGCAGTTGCATGCTGCGCCCTTTGTTTGACCCGAAAGACTGACACTTTCAGGTGAAATTCCTGTAGCGGCTCAGGCCACATAGCCTATATTTACTGACACGTACACGGTGCTGAGCTGTGTGGAACACCTGTGAGGGTGCGTGAAGACCCCCCACCCATTTGCTTGACCCTTTAGCCTTAGCATGGTTATCGTTTGTTTTTTTACTCTTATCGTCTTACAGAACTTGGGGACTGTATGATCTGAGCTAAAGTCACGAACATTCGTTATCGCGATTTTTACTTTTATATCGCTTTACAACGAATTCGATTGCTCTTACCGTGCGGTCGCATGCACTTTCAAAAGATGCACTCGGGTGATCCTTATCATCCTTCACCTTGGGTTCTGGCATTGTTCTTGTCCAAAATCTTGAAGGCTTCCTGTACCACGGCATCCGTGAGGCAGGCTTTCCTGCATTCATGCAGCAGGATAAGGCACTGCTTCCCAGTGGACGTGCAGCAGGTGGCATTTCTATCTCGAAGCTTGCACTGATCACGGATCACGGAGATTGCGACATCCGTCTTGTAACCGCCTGCACGGCTTGGCCGTGTTGTGCGAAGAACTGCGAGCTCCAAAAAGCAAGTCTCCAAAACTGACTCTTCCTGGAACCTTTTTTCGGCAACCTGTGCCAGAGCCGCTGTTGCAACGAGCCACGTGTACAATTGCAGCACCGACAACAAGCTTTCAGGAGCAGATTTTTGCCTCGAAAAAACCACCGCTAATGCAAGCTTCGTGGGCATGAGATGCAAGCTGCTCGACAAAAACTTGCCAAGACGAAGAAGCACATACAGTAGGAGATTGTCGGAAGCAGCACGGCAACGTTGAAACGCAACATGGCTGAGCTGCCCATGTGCTAAGCACGGGCCCTGCAATATGCCTTTGCAGGCCTTTAACATTCGCATGTTAATTTCCTTGCAGGGCTTTCTTTGGCGGACCACGTGTCCGAAAGGACACCACGCACTAGAAAAGTCAAGCTTCTTTAGACAGACTTCCCATGCTGGACCAAATCATTTAATTCAACTCCACAGCCGGACCCGTGGCCTGTTGAACGTCGCTGCGAGGAACTCTGTGTAGGTGAAATCCTGCGAAACCAGCAGTAGATCTGATCTGACGCCAAACCATGAGACTTCTCGCACATGGGGGCAAACCAAAGTATCCTGGCGTCGGGCTATGGGATTCAATTGCGCGTTGGCCTCCCGAGCTCCACTGACTTTGGCGATGCTTCCGAAGCAGGGCGCCGCGAGCCGTGTGTCCCTTCAATCTATACCAAAAGAATTTATAGTTGGCATCCTACTTCCGCTGTACCTCCGAGTACCTCATATTATAATGAACCGCCCTCCCTTGCATCGTTCCACACAACAAGATCGAGCACTCGCGTTTACTCCATCCGCCAAGGCGTAGGACTCGTCGAAAACAATTAAGGACGACATGTGGGTAAGCTTCAAAATTGAGGCTTGTCTGCCCAAACTACAGGAACAACAACCAAACTATAGCCCCACCAAGACTTCTTCCGAAGGTCCAGGTATGCACACGGAGCCTACCTCACGTACTCCAGAAAGTTTTAATTTGAAGGAAACGCGGGCCTTAGAGGAACCCGCCAAGCTTGAGTCGAAGTCTCGGAAGATTCCTTGGCGCTCGGTTTAGATCTTGGAATTCTCTCCGACAGAAATTAAGGTAAAATAAATTAGGGTGTAGGGCAGTGTAGGGCTTTTCGGCTTCAGGGTTCGAGCGTTAGCTTTGTGGTGCAAGCAGCAAGAAGGCTGAACGAGATCAGTGCTGCTCACTTCTAGCTCCGCAAATGCATGTGGCTGGTTCCTTCCCAGCGGCTCTCCACTTCTCGTCGTGTGACATCCTCTGTGCAAAGGGGGGGAATCGGAGGAGTCGGAGAGGTCTTGCCACGGACGCGCGATTCCAGAAGCCCAGCCGATTCGCACAGCTGAAGCTCAACCCCGCGAGATCGGTCCTTCTCCAAGATACCCTGCTCTCGCCTCACACTGCACATGACCAGGCTCTCACGTCACTTCCAATGGAAACTTTGGCCAAGCTGCTGCTTTCTGAGCCGCTTCTCCACCTCTGGAAGGTTTCACACCCACAGTGACCGGGCTGTGCAACTACAGTTCTGCAAAGAGAATGCATGCTGCATGCATGTATGCGTGCTAGTTATCAGGTCAAGCTAATGAGCTGTGCTGCCGTCGTTGAAACTGTCTTGCGCCTCTGCTACACAGAGGAGCCCGTCGCCGTCAGTGTCCATGGAGATCTCAGAACGTGGCTTCAAACATGCTAAGAGCATATGGTGCTTGTTGGTTTCCCTGCCCTTTTTGAAACCTGGAAATCGACAAGCAAGCGGAACCATGGTCCACGGAGTCTATGCCTAGGCCCTAGGCCAATCACACTCGATGCCCAAATATTCCCAGCCCCCCCCCACTTGCTCCAAACAAACTCCTCGAGTATCCCCTCGCCCTGATCTGTACACAAGTCCATGTGTGTGTGACGTGCTTTCTCGTGCTGGGGCTTGTACATGTGCCTGTGTGAAGACAAGCAACCTCCTTCTGAACTGTAACAATGCTTATGACACCTGTTGCATACCCTCAGCAATGCCACAGCAACTCTCGACGCACACTGAGTGAACAGGGGCTGCCACAAACATGTCACGAGCTGCTTGCACATGTTCCTGCAGTGACACGGCTGACACACAAAGGCAGAAATATAAATTTCAGCGTGTGGTTCTCCCATGTGTTCAACTACCAGTACAAGTAGTGTATTGAGGTCCAGCCACGCTGGCCTGATTTCTGTCCAGATCCATTGACTGTAGGAAGCTACTGCATGTGGCTGAAAGCCAGGGAGACAAGAATAAGCCCAGTGAAGAGCATCGGCATCGACGCCACTTACAACCCATTGAAAACCGAAAAAAAAGCTTGACGGACACATCACTGTCCTCGGCAAGCATACTGGCGATTGTTGTGAACGAAGATCGCCTGTCAGTCATCAAACTGGGGCAACCCAACCCCTCTCTGCACTCCTACCATGAACAGTTTCCTGGCTTGCTTTCCAAACAATCCTCCAGTGCTTCTGTTTCCACCAGATGCGTGCTGAGATGTCTTTTGCCATAAACCACAGAATATAGTGGCTAGTGCTTGGAAAAGCCGCACACTGCACGCTGGCTGAAGAAATGGCGGCCGGGCGTACTTCAGCTTGTTCTGACCCCGGAACGTGCGTAAATCATCAAGCAGACCGAAACCTCAGGCGGTGGCAGAAGTCCGTGCGCACACGAGCGCGTTTTCCTACGCTGCTTGGCTTATACATAGCTCAGCTCCGCAGCTAGACTCACTCAAATCAAGTTTCACAGGGCACATCGCTCCAGTGATCAAGCTGCTGATGCTGAGGACCATGGCGCAGCGTTGGCATCTCGGGCTTTGGAAGGTGTTTCTGAAAGAAGGGATCCTGCACGAAATCTGAACTGCATTTCTTGTTGGAACGGCATTTCTCAACAGCAGCGAGTGCGAAGATTTGGTGTAGAGCTCATTCCGTCCGTCAACACCGTCTCCTGCGTTTCCGTGTCCAAACGACTTCGAGTTCGGGGTGTGCTTCGTCTGAACATCTTTTTGACGTGTGCTTTTGCCCTACCTCTAGTCATCGACTCGACGAGACGGTGTCCTTTACAGCACAGAATGTGCAGTTGATGGAATGACTTGTATCCGTGGTGCAGGTCCGTTGGACCGAGGTCCTTGGTGGTTGTTTGAAGTAGTCATGTACGCGTACCTGGCTTGAGTGTTTACAGGCATGCGTCAGACAATCCACCAAAACACCAGCAATCTGACTCAGAATCTCTAAAACTTGAAGTAGGACTTGCCTACTCAGGACTAGGGTCCACATGGCCGCCACTTTCTGAAGCCCCCTGTTTGATCCTGGAGTGCCAGCTTGGCTGGTGGACGGTGAGCAGGTCTGGAGAGCAGCTTCCTGAGGAAGCAAACAGCCTCCTGACACGGTCAGGTCGCGAGGTCAAGCTTACGATTTGTTATTGAAGGCTCCTTTCCTTCCGCAAGGATGCGATTGGTGCTTACAAGGCTCTATGTACATTTACATGCCCTGTCTCGGGACGTCTTCCTTCAAGGTACGGAAGCAAAAGAAAACCAATCGCGTTAGATTTTGGAGAGGCTGGGGGCGACAGCTATATACGGCGGCGGGGCTTTTTTCGCATACCGAAAAGGGCTCCTCATGCTCACTTTTCCGCTGGGGGTCTTTTTTTTTCGCGCCTTGTTTAGATCCTCAATTTATCGGGTTTTAGAGTTTGGGGCAGGAGGAACAAAAGAATCTTTACGGGGCAAATACAAACTACCTAACCGGCCATACAGGGATTCGGGTTTGGGGTCTATGGCCGAAGGAACCAATAAGAATCTTTAAGCGGGCAAGAACTACCTAACCGGCCACGCAGGGATTCTTCACTCCCTGGGTTCGGGGGTTTCAGGCCGAAGGAACAAAAGAATGTTTAAGGAGGTAAAAAACCACCTAACCGGCCGTTTAAGGTTTTGATCTGACTTGGGGGTCTAAGGCCGAAAGAACAAAAGAACAAAGAGACACCAGACAAACAACCGGCGGGGCTTTTTTCACATCCCGAAAAGGGCTCCTCATGGGATCTAAGGCCGAAGGAACAAAATCATAAAGGGACATAAGACAGAAGTACCGGGAAAGAAAGAGAGGGTGACAGAGGGAAAAACAGAGAGGGAGAGCGAGGGAAAGAGAGAGGGAGAGAGGGAAAGAGACAAAACGAGAGACGGAGGGAAACCAACAGGCACGGTGGAAAGCAGAGGTGAGAGAAAGAAGACAAAGAGGAAGAGAGAAAGAGAGACTGAGAGACAGAGGAACAGAGCGACAGACAGACAGAGTGACGGAGAGACAGAGAGACAGGGAGAGAGGAAGAAAAGGAAGAGGGCAGGGAAGCGGAGAAGAAAGCAGGAAAAGGGCTGGGTAAAGGAAGCGAGACAAAGCTGCGAAGGGCAGTGGAAAGGACTGGAAGGGCAAGGAAGGGAAAGGAGAGTTAGGGGAGGGGAGGGGAGGGGAGGAGAGGGGAAGGAAACGGAGTGGGACGAGAACAAGAGCGTAAGGAGGCAGTTTGCCCGCGAGGGCAAGGACCCTGTTACAAGGGCACAAGGCCCAGGAGAGAGCAAGGAGCAAACCAAGCGCAAGAGACTGGAGATTTAGATAACACGAGCACACCAACCGAAAAATAATAAGAAAAATTGAGAACACTAGAAGCAAACCGCTCGAAGGAGACTAAACAAAATGAACAAAGAGCACACCGCCCAAAAGAAACCAGAGAATTTGAGAGTTCGGAGTTAACCACTCGAAAGAAACCAAAAGATTTGTTCAGAAGGAACAAACAGCTCGGAAGAGACCAGAGAGTTTGAGAACAAAGAGCAAACCAAGCGAACTAAACTAGAGAATTAAAGAAAAAAGAGTAAACCGATCAAAAACACTAAACAACTTGAGAACACAAGGAGCAAACTGCTCGATTTAGACTAAAGAAGTTGAGAACAAGGAACAAACCGATCGCAAAAGACTAGAGAACTTGAGAACAAAGAGAAAAGCTTTTCAAAAGAAATTAGAAAATTGCAGAACAAGCAAGGAGCAAACCGCTCGAAAGAGATCAGAGAAGTGGAGAACAGGGAGCAAACCGCTCGAACAATATTCGATAATTTGCGGGCCTCAGGAGCAAACCGCGCGAAAAACTAAGGTTTCTTTTGAAAACACTACCATCCTAGAGGAATTGAGAACAGGGAGCAAACCGTTCGAAAGAGACTAGAGAGATTGAAGCAAAGGAGCAAGTCGCTCGAAAACGACCAGCGGGCTTGTGAACAAGGAGCAAACTGCTCGAAGGGTACAGATGCCGAAGCAAGCCACGAAAGAGACTAGATCACTTGAGAACAAGGGGCAGCAACCCAAGCGAAAGAGACTAGCGAAAGAAACTAGGGAATTCGAGCAAAAGAAGCAAACCGCTCCAAAAAAGACCAGAGAATTTGAGAACAAGGAACAGAACGCTCGACAGTGACTAGACAGTTTGAGAACACGGGGGCAAGCTGCTCGAAAGAGACTAGAGATATTGAAACAGCGGAGCTAAAGAGAACCATAACGGCACACGTTGAAGACCCTCTTTGTTAGATGCTCACTTTTCAGGTGTGGGGCATTTCTTGTTTTGCTGAATCAGTCAACTTCAGCTACTGCAAAGAGCTAACTTCTCGAAAATGGCATGAGAATTTGACAGCATGGAGCAAACCGCTCGAAAGAAACAAGCGAATTTGAGGAAAAAGCAAACCGCTCCTCAGTGGATCATTTGAGCAGAAGCAGCAAACCGCCCGAAAACGACTAGATAGCGTCAAAACAAGAACAAAACCAAGCGAAAGAGACTAAACAATTTGAGAAAAAGGAGCAAACCGCTCGAAAAAGACTAGCACAAGGAGCAACCCAGCAACCCGCCCCAAAGAGAAGACTGAAGACTTTGAGAACAAGGAGGAAACCAAGCGAAAAAGACTAGAAAATTTAGGAGCACGGAGCAAGCCCGTGTAAGAGAGTTAGAAATATCGAAAACAAGGATAAAACAGCTCCAAAGAGACTCTGCGAACAAGGAAGCCAGGGGCTACAAAATTTAAGAACAAGGAGCAAACAGCTCGAACGAGACTAGAGAACTTGAGAACACAGGCGCAAGCCGCTCGAAGGAGAAAAGATACTTTGAGAACAAGGAGCAAACCGCTCGAGAGAGACTAGAGACTACAGAATTTCGAACGAGGCTAGAGGGAGCACGCCGCTCGAAAGGAACTAGAGAAGCTCGGAACAAGGAGCAACCCGCTCGAAAGAGATTAGAGATATTGAAACCAAGGAGCAAACCACTCGAAAGGGAAAGAAAAAGGAGCAATCCGCTTGGAAAAGACTAGAGATATTGAAGCAAAGTAGCAAACCGCTCGAAAGCGTCTAGGGAGTTTGAGAACTAGGAGCAAGCCTCTCAAAAGAGACTAGAGACCTTGAGAACAAGGAGCAAACCGCCCGAAAGACACTGGAGACTTTGAAAACAAGGAGCAAACCCCTCGAACAATATTACAGAAGTTAAGGCAGACTACAGAGTTTAAGAAAAAAGGAGCAAACCGCTGGAAAGCGGACTAGATCGGACTAGTGAGTTTGCAAACACGGGAGCAAGCCGCGCGGAGGAGAATGGAGAATTTCAGAACAAGGAGCAAACCGCTCGAGCGCGACGAAAAAAAATCGAAAGAAACTAGCGGATTTGAAAGCAAGGAGCTATCTGCTCGAAAGGAGTTGGAAAATTTCAGAACAAGGAGCAAACCGCCCCAAAGAGGCTGGAGACTAGAGAAATTAAGAACAAGGGGCGGAAGCCGCTCCAAAGGGACTTAGAAATTTCGTAAACAAGGAGCCAACCGCTCGAAAAAACTAAAGAATTTCGATGGAGACTAGAGAATTTGAAAACAAGGAGCAAACCGCTCGAAAGGAATTAGGGAATTTCAGAACAAGGAGCAAACCGCTGGAAAGAGGCTACAGAATTTAAGCCAGGGTCTACAAAATTTAAGAACAAGGAGCAAAGCGATCGAAAGGAACTAGAGAATTTCAGAAACAAGGAGCACAGCGCTCGAAAGAGACTAGCGAATTTCGGAAGAGACTAGAGAAATTGAAAACAAGGAGCAAACCGGTCGAAAGGCAAACCGCTCGAAAGAGCTTAGAGAAATTAAGACAGAGGCTACAGAATTTAAGAACAAGGAGCAAGCGGCCCCAAAAAGGCCTCGAGAATTGGAGAACACAGGAGCAAACCGCTGGAAGGAGAAACGATATTTACATAACAAGGAGCAAACCGCTCGAGAGAGACTATAGAATTTCGAAAGAGACTAGAAAATTCGAACACAAGGAGCAAACCGCTCGAAAAAGACTGGCGGATTTCAGAAAAAGGGGCAAACCGCTCGACAAAGAATAGCGAATTTCAGAACAAGGAGCAAGCCGCTCGAAAGAGACTAGAGAAATTGAAACGAAGAAGCAACTGCTCCAAACGGGCTAGGGAATTTGAGAACCAAGAGCAAGCCGCTCAAAAGAGACTAAAGACTTGGAGCAAACCTCTCGAACGACACTAGGGACTTTGAGAACAAGGAGCAAACCGCTCGAAAGCGATTACATATTTCAAGACAGAGGCTCCAAAATTTAAGAAACAAGGAGCAAGCCGATCGAAGGGACTAGAGCCGTAGAGAACACGGGAGCAAGCCGCTCGAAGGAGAAAGGATATTTTGAAAACAAACGGAAGAGGTACTATAGAGAAGTTCGACAGAGACTGGAAAGTTTGAAAACAAGGGGCAACCCGTTCGAAAAAGACTAGCACAAGGAGCAAACCGCCCCAAAGAGATGACTGGAGAGTTTGAAAACAAGGAGGAACACAAGCGAAAGAGACTAGAAAAAATAAGGGGCACGGAGCTAACCGGTCCAAAGGGACCTAGAAATATCCAAACAAGAATCAAACCGCTCCAGAGAGACTAGAGATATTAAAACAAGGAAGCAAACCGCTCGAAAGGGATAGACAAAGTACCGAACCGCTTGGAAGAAACTGGAGATATTGAAAAAAGAAGCCAACGGCCCCAAAGGGGCTAGGGAATTTGAGAACCAGGAGCAAGCCGCTCGAAATAGACTAAAGACTTTGAGAACAAGGATTGAAAACAAGGAGCAAACCGCTCGAAAGGAATTAGAGAGTTCCAGAAGAAGGAGCAAAACGTTCTAAAAGAACTCGATAATTTCGAAAAAAAACACTAGGGAGTTTGAAAACAAGGAGCAAACTGCTCGAAGGAGAATAGAGAATGTCAGAACAAGGAGCAAACTGCTCGAAAAGAGCGAGAGAATTTCGAAACAGACTTGAGAACTTGAAACAAGGAGCAAATCCCTCGAAAGGAACTAGGGAATTTCAGAACAAGGAGCAAGCCGCTAGAAAGATACAAGAGAATTTCGATAGAGACTAGAGCCGTCAAAAACAAGGAGCAAACCGCTCAAAAGGAACTAGAGAGCTTGAAAACAATGAGCAAACCGCTCGTGAGAGACTAGAGAATTTGAACACAACGAGCAAACCGCTCGAAAAAAATTAGAGCATTTCAAAAGAAGGACCCAAAGCGCTCGAAACAGACTAGGGAACTTCGAAAGAGATTAGAGAATTTTAAAACCAGGAGAAAACCACTCGAAAGGAACTAGAGAATTCCAGAACACGGACCCAAACCGCTCGAAAAAGACTAGAGAATTTCGAGAGAGACTAGAGAAGTTGTGAAACCGAGGAGCAAGCGGGTCGAAAGGAATTAGAGAATTTCAGAACAAGGAGCAAACCACTGGAACGAGACAAAAGAATATACAAGGAGCAAGCCGCTCGAAAAGAACTAAAGAATTTCGAAAGAGACTAGAGAAATTGAAAAAAAAGGAGCAACCCGCTGGAAAGGAAGTTTGAGAAGAAGGAGCAAGCCGCTCGAAACAGACTGGGTAAGTTCGAAAAAGACTTGAGAAATCGAGAACAAGGAGCAAACCGCTCGAAAGGAACTAGATGATTTCAGAACAGTGATCAAGGCGCTCGAAAGAGACTAGAAAATGATGTCGCAAGAGACTAAGAAAAATTGCAAACAAGGACCAAACCGCTCCAAAGAGACTAGAAAATTTCCGGAAACTTGAAAAGTTGAAAACAGGGAGCAAACCGCTGGAAAGGAACTAGAGAATTTCAGAACATGGAGTAAACCGTTCGAGCGGAACTTAGAAAATTCAGAAGAGAGAGCAAACCGCACGAAAGAGACTTGAGAATTTCGACAGAGACTAGAGAAGTTGAAAATAAGGAGCGAACCGCTGGAAAGGAACTAGAGAATGTCAGAACAAGGAGCAAACCGTTTAAGCGAGCCTCGAGAAATTGAAAACAAGGAGCAAACCGCTCGAAAGGAACTAGAGAATTTGCAGAACAAGGAGCAAACCGCTCGAAAGAGACTAGAGAGCCCGCGAAGGGCGGAAGCCCGAGGCCGGGAAAAGGCGTGACAGTGATCGAACCCTGCGAATTCGGGCGATAGCGGCACGTCTGGTCAAGAACTGAAACAAGCCTTGTGTGGCGTGGCCTGGGTTTTCTGCCATCCTCGAGGCTAAGCCCAATGAAGCCCCATTGCCGCTGGGGGAAGGCGTTCTTTAAAACCTTTGACTGGCAAGGCGACCTTTTAAAACCCGTCGTTGGGTTAGGAGGGCTTTTATCTCAACATCTCCGGCCCGAGGAATCTCGATCCGGGCTGCAGACGAGCCACTGAAAGCCCTGTCCGGTGAGGGGAAGGTTTTCTTTGGGTCATGGATACGTGGCAGCGTAGAATTAGAAGAAAAAATCGTGCGCGGGAGAAAAGGTTTGGTTCTTTCTAGACCCTGTCCACGTTGGTGGAGATACAAATAAGCCCCTGGACAGCGCAGATCGAGGGCTTTCTTCCGACTCTGTCCACGCATGCTCGAGAAGCTGCTGAGCGCTGGGCCTACCCAGGACAGAGAAAGAGCTTTTCCGACAGTACCAAAAAAATCACGGGGACAACAAAAACCCAGCCCCTATATACCGTCTTGACTGAACCACAATTGCAACAGCAAGCATCCTGGGATGCGTCGCACCACTGCTTGCCAAGAGGAACTCGCGCTGCTTTGATCTGCACGCGAAGGGCGAAAGACATGGTTTCAGGCTAAGGACGTGGCGTCAGGCTGGCAACACGATTGCTTGCAGCCTTTTTCCGGTCTACACTTGCCGCATCGACAAAACCCTGCCTCTTCCTCTGTGCCAAACGGAACTCCGCCGCTCATGAGGTTGTACCTCGTGCATTTACGAGTACGGCGTACCACAACGATGGACTGGCCTCAAACCATACTCTGCCTATCGGGTTACTCTGACCTCATGCCAGATAGTTGGTCTAAGACTACACGGCTTGTTACGCATGGGAAGTTTAAGAAAGAAGCCTTTCAGTTCCGGCTTCGCTGGCATGCAGTGGACTGCGGATAGCTGCAAAAATGGACACAAACTCCAACTCTCCATTTCTTCAGGATGTACGAAAGGAAACACGGCATGGGCGTAAACTTGGTTGAGGTGCCCTAGGCCCTAGACATCAGAAGATGTCAGGAAACTTGCAGATATGGAGATTGACGTAGGTTGCCTAGGAGGATTCTGCGCCATCCAATTTCGACAGACATAGCAGCACAGAACCCAAAACACCTCTTGCCCCGGAGCACAGAATGACGCCGCAAGCCCACACATCACAGGAGCTCGTGTACCTGGCACTGGGGCAGTGTGGGGACTAAGGAAGGCTTTCAAGCAGAACTTTGCAGAAGTGCGACATCTCCGACAAAATCAAGGTCGGGCGTCTTCCACGGTGCGACGTCATTTTGTCGCTTAGCTGTGTGCGCAGCTCAGCCCTAGCCGAAGGGGTCGTAGCCTCGACGGATCCAGGCAGCCATGGAAAGAATTCGATGAACTTGTGAAGCAAACGCAGCGAACTACCATTCCTTACAAGCTGGAACAAGCATCTGCCCTGTGACGAGGCTTTTGTTGACGGAGTATCTTCTCAAAACCCCCTGCACCTGCACTTCTCTCTAGGTTGCGAAGATTCAGAAGGCATCTTAGTTCCATCCCCACTCTTAACGACAGACACAAGAGGATGCAGCTGTCCCGTTCTTCATTGCTCCAGCGCATTCTGTCAAAAGGCCTTGCAACTGCAAACCAAAAGTAAATCGGCAGATTGCCTCCTAAACGAGCCGGGCTGAACCCACCATCTGAGCAATGCTGCACCGAAACAGAGATCAACGAACCCTGTGTGCTGTTACGGAGCTTTCTTCACGGAGAGGACTGGGTCCTGTCGAGCCGACTTACGTTGGATATCGTCTCGGCACACTTTCTCACTCTCACCTCGGCCTCGGCCAAATCCTAAACAGAGATGCCAATCTGACCCCCCCCTCCCCCACGTCCACCGGCATCATCGAAACGTGGTGGGGGCACCTTGCATGTCACAACATGCTTCTGCCTCGATATCATGAGTGGTTGCTTCGCAGATAGACGTCGAGGCTTGCTTCAGTGTTCTGCACTCCTTGTGTTGTTCTCTGGCTTGGACTGCGGGCTTTCAGCAATATTCAGCGAGCTTTGTGATCAAGGCCTTCCGCAAAACCATGTAGCTGCAACTCCAATCTCGCTTCGGGCTCGCGTTGGATATCTGACATACTTTAATGCGGCTGAGATTCACGAATGACCGTTTTTCTTAAGAGACACAAAGGCCTTGAATCTTGAAACGACAGTCCAACAGATTGGAGGAGTAAACTCGAGTGTGAGCCACACAACTCACAAGAAGCAGGCAGGAGCTGCAGAAGCGTTGTGAGTCGCAGATCCACATGTGGGAATCCTGGATTTTATGGTGGCCTTAGCTTCTGACGGAGCCCTGTGGAGCCGAAACCTTCTGACCCCAGCAAGTCCTAACCGTCCTAACTCACAGCCTTCGAACCCTGGCAACGTTCACATCCAATTTCATTACGTCAACTTTGCTCCTCGAAAGTGCCTCGTTGAAGGGCGTCATCGCCGGCTTCTCAGGAGAGGCATCTGAAGCAGAATGAGACTGAAAGCTTGGAAAGAGCTCCCGGACAATGTGCGGAAAATCTGCCGCAGTAGCAGCCCGAGTCGCAACGGTAGTGGCTCTGTCGAGAAAAGATCACAAAGCCGGTCGAAACGCAACACAGATCAAGCACCAACTGAGCACAAAGCGATCACAAATCGAAGGCCAATCACAAGCAATGCATTGCAAGAAGATCACAGTTGCATTACAAAGCACAGAACATACAAATCACAAAAGCAAATGATGAAAAAAATGCTGCGCCAGCTCCCAGTCTCTCCGGGCTTCAAACTCACGAAGGGGAGCAAACCAGTCGAAAGGGGAGCAGCAGGAGTGGACCGATCGAAAACAAGTATAGGGGTATTTGACGAAGGAGGCACCAAGCCAGTCAAAAGAACTGGCGAGAATTTCAGAACGAGGGGCAAACCAGTCGGAGGGCAGTAAATGCAGGGAACTTTGACAAACGAGATCAAAACTGCCCGAAAGAGACTAGGGCATTTGAGGAGCAGTTTTTGAGAAGGACAAGCAAACCAGTCGAAAGGAATGAGACAATGATGTTGAGAAACAGAAGCACGCCGGCCGCAAGAGACTAAACAAATCACAAAGAAGAGAACTTGAGAAAGAGGAACATGGCACACGGGTTGAAAGGGACTATAAAATTGGACAAACTGGAAGGAACAAACAGCTCCAAAAACGCAGCAAGTTTGACAAACAGGAAACTTTGAGAAAAGACAAGCAAGCCAACAAGGAGCAAGGGACTGGAATGACCCGGGGGCACAAGCAAAACGCTGGAAAACCCAGAGACTATAACAAGGAGGAGAAAGATAAGCAAACCACAGGAAGAGGCCAACACATTTTTAGAAACAAAAGCTACTGCTCGAAAGACACGATCAGGAGGATAATTTCAGAATAATTCAGCAAACCAGTCGAACACGATCTTTCTGGTGAATTCTCTAAACTTGTTCGAGCGGCTTGCTCCTGTAGATTTTTCGTTTGAGTCAAGCTCTCTATAGATTGTTTCAAGCGGTTCAGAAAGCCTACTCCCTTCCAACTTGCTCGATCCTCGTTCTCCGACGTTTCTATTCGTTGAATTCTCGAATTCTGTTATACTTGTTTTCTATCATCTCCAGTCTCTTTCCCGCGTCTTGCTGCTCGACAATCTTGACTCGAGTTGTGTTCGGCTGGTTTGTTCTTCTCCGCTTCTCGAACATGCCTCTTTTTCAAATGGTGTGCTCCTCGAAAATTGAGACCAAAACACAGCCACCAGTGCATACCAGGTTTGTGTTCTATTCTCTTTCGGTCGTTTTGCTCCTGTTGGTCAATACCTTTAGTCTCTTTCGAACGGTGTGCTCCTGTGTCTGAATTTTTGCGACCATTTGCGAGTGGTTTGCTCCTCTTTCTCAAGTCCTGCTTTTTGTCAAACTCTTTCGACTGTTTGGAGAAGCTTTGCTGCTCTGTCTGCAAGTCTCCTCCTTCTCGAATTCTAGAATTCGTTGGCCACCACCATCGGTCCCAAACAGATGGAGACAAGCCAACAACCCCGGCAATGGCAACCCACCCACAGCGCAAAACGCCGGCATCCTCGTTCAAACAACAAGAATCGCTACAGTAAACTGTTTGGGGAAACAGCTCCCCAGTACACTGCTTGGAGAAAATCGCCAATGCTCAACCCAGACACTCTAAACTCTAACCCCCATCTTAATCAGCCGTGATTTCCAACCCTAACCCCACCACACAGAACCATAAAACCCAACGCCACAAGGGCAGGAGGCAGGGAGGCCTCGACTCTGCAAGGCACTCCGCGCATCCGGGACAACGGCTGCAGCAGGAGCGAAGACCTGGCAGCCGAGGCTTGAACAGGTTTGGTTGGCTTTAGGGCTTCAGGTTGTGAGGGCTGAGGTTACGGACTTCTGTATGAGAATTATGGAGCTCCGGTCAAGCAGGATGCGACTTCGCCTCGCGCCATGACAATGCAGGATACGACACTGTACAACTCCCAACGTCGAATTCTGCACCAATTCTCAAGGAGCTCTCGCCTGTGGTGGAGGTGCGGCTTGATCCTGTGTCTACATATATTTCAGGAGACCAGCGATTTTGAGGCTTATATATTCAAACACCATTTTCCCATGTCTCGGTGCTTTATTCTCAGCCCTACATTCGGCGGGCCAGAGAACCTGCTGGCTCTTGCAACCTGCAGTTTCTGGGGAGTCCTGAGAGAGCTTTAGAAGGGGAAGTTTGGGAAAGAGATTTAACAACTGACACGTTCAGGTACACACACACACACTCTTGCAATCATAAGGTTTCGGACGCTGTGAAGTAGAACAACTCACATGTTCTCGTCCGCACTGGCGCTTGCAATCGCAGGGTTTCCGATGCTGTAACAATCCGTAAGCTCTGCGAGAAAGAGAGGGGAGGGAGAGACTGCGAAATCTATGACAGCCCTCTGGCAATGATATGCTACTGAATGCCTTGTATTCCGCTATCCTGGCAAACATCCGCTGCATTTCTCTGGCACTCCTGAGGTGTGGCACGCTTCACGTCCACCCACTTGCCATCGATGGCCTGGAATGCAGCAACCCTATAATTATGCTCCTCCTAGCGCTTTGCCGGATCATTTTCCCGCTTTCGCGGTACGCTCACGCATTGCCGGGTGCTGCAAATGCTTGTCTCCGCTTCCATATATTATGTCCAGCACGTGTTCGGATAAAAGCCTCCGGTTCCTTTGGGTCTGCTGGTGTCTTTGTAAGCCTCTGCGGCAGACTCCTGTACGGTCCAAGGAGTCGTTACAGTAGACTCAAAATCAGTAGAGGCTTTCCCTTGGTGCCCGGCATGCTTCCCGTAGTCCCGGATTGCCGCCTCGCAGCAGATCTCAAGGCACAAAGCCAAAAGACTGTTCTTCCCATGGCCTCCACACAGGAGATGTGTTCGAAAACCACGAAGCCGAAGCCTCGGGGCTTGCCCGTGGCTTTGTCTGCCATGACCTCGGAGGCGGAGGCTCCCAGCTTTGCATTGGGCAGACCCCAGGTCTGGGCCGCCAGCGACAGCGTCGGTGATCCTTCCATACTTACCTTGGATGGCGCGGCGGGACCTTTACAAATTTGACACTATGACTTGCACCGCCAACGGTTCCCGTCCGGTATAGAATCCAGAATTGGTGCTCGGGCCGATCATCGGTTATGGAAAGGGCGTGGTTTGTGCTAAGGGTCTCGCGACTTGAATCCCGACGTTTTAGCATGGTTTGACTCGAGGAGTGGTTCGGCTGTCAAAGCATTGCTTCAGGAGAAAGAATGAAATTACTTGCCGTTGGATCTAGCAAGGGTTGCGCCAGGAGGAGTGCAACAATGACTCATGAAGCAGCAATCTCACCGCGGAGTATCAACAGACGCGGAGGCATACGGAACAGCTTAGACGATCGGGGAATCCAGCCTTCCCGGCCTTTGTGGCTCAAAGCCCAACTACACGAACTTTGAACCACGTGTCACTGACAACAACTTCCTGTCATCCACTGGTCAAGACGCCGAAATGGGCTGTCAGCATGTCCAGCGTGCAGTGGTGAGGTAGACCGCCGACGAAAATCTTTTCGCGATCCTGAGCATGTCTCTCAATCCATCTCATATTCATTGCACACGGCGTTGGTTTCTCCGTTTAGTCCACTGTGGCACGAGCCAGCTACAGTGC